CAGAAAGCACTTTCGGGGGAGGGTGGGGGTGGGAGCGTGGTCACATCACAATCCCTCGCTTCCATTTCTCCTTCCCCTTAGGGTTTTGGGCACACGCACACACACACACACACACACACACACACACACAATGTATTTTTCAAGCCACCAGGGCCACTATTCACACTGTGATCAGCCATGTGGGATTCTATTCTCAATTCATGTTGCTTATCCACTGTGCTATAGAGCCAGTCCAGTACAATTTGCTTATAAACAAATTGGAGTTACAGTTCAAAGGTTACCTCATATATATTATGAGTTCAGCATATTATTGGGTCATTGGAAAGGTCATGATGCATTTGTGCATAGAAAAATGTGTCATGACTTTCCTGACAACCCAGTAATTCTCCCCATCGAATAGAGCAGCGCAAGAGAGGCACTCACTAGACCATATCTAGCTGAAGGGTGGCTTCTGAGGCACAGTGGGTTTCTTGTTTATTATCAGAATTAAAGTATGGGCTTGTCCCTTAGTAATTTTAGTTTAAAAAAATATTTGGGGAGGTTAACCTTTTTTTCTTATATGTTATAGTCAGGGAGCCTATGACATAAAAAAATTTCCCCCATAAACTTCTTTCTAGACTTCTTTCATCTAATTTGACTCCTACTGTATCTAACTTATAGATATGGGGAGGGTGTAGGTAGATCAGTTTAAACTGAATGTGTAATGTCTTGTCCCCTTAAACTGCCAGTTACTAGAGGAGAATCTTTGTCAGAGATGTGTTTATTAGTAAAGTCTTCGGGAGGTTGCCAGCATCCTGTGAATATGGAGTAGCTTGGTCCTAAATGCACTTGTTAAACATAACACCAAAATAGTGTAGGGACATCACTACTGAGAAACTCTTTTTTGGGGCTTGGTGTACTTTCAAAGTTTAACATCTTAATACCGTGTCTGTTTCGTTAACTAGAAAGGGATTTACTGTCTCTGATCAGTGCTTTTGGGGTTGCCACAAACCTTGAAAGTCATTTCAGAATTCTTTTCTTTCTTTCTTTTTTATTTTTTTTTAGTTTGTTTGTTTGCTTTCTGAAGAGGATTTTTTGCTTTTAGGGCGTGTGCGCTCGCCAGACAGACAGAAAGAGACAGAGAGACAGAAAGCGAGAAATCACCCCCCAAGGGGGATGGCCTTGCCGCAATCCCTTCTCCTCCATTCTCCTCTCGGGATCTTGGGCATGCATGCACACGCGCCTGGCGTGAGTTTTAAGCCACCGGGTCTGGGACTCGAACTGCGGTCGACTACATGGGAGTCCAGCAACATAGCCATTACGCTAACTGCTGGTCCCAGAATTCTTTTCTTTCTTTTATATTCTTATTCCCATATTCCCCTCCACACCCCTTTTCAGTTCATCCACAAACATACTTCCTGCCCCACTTTTTTTTTTAAGAATTATTTGATTTTATTTATTCATTCATTTCTTTTAATTTGACCAGAGAGAGACTCAGAGAGAAAGAGAGAGAGAGAGAGAGAGCAAGC